TACATACAACAAAATTAAACACTAAATTAAGTTCATTATGTTACGCAGTCAGGATTCACTCAAATTCTGACAGCCTTCACGCAGCTCGTTACGTGTATTTTGCAAATGTACATTCCCGCCTGATATATGGCATAACATTCTGGGGACGCTTATCCTCTAGTACCCAGACATTTAGATTTCAAAATAAAATTATTCGAATAATAAACAAATGCCATCCACGTGATTCTTGTAAGCCTCTCTTCATTGTGCTTGGAATCTTACCATTGTCTTGTCTCTTTATTTACGAATCTGTAATATTTGTCAAAACTGACATACTTAATGGTAGGAACATATTTTCATGCAATACTGATATTTATAATTACAACACACGTCGTAAAAATCACGTTCATCAAGTGTCAGTATCAACAGCTCACTATCAGAACTCCACATTCATGTACGTTACTTTACAAAGCATTGTCAGATGACATTAAACAATTGAAGTCATTACACAAATTTAAGTTAAAAGTAAAATATTTTCTGCTGCATAACTGTTTCTATACAATTATAGACTATACTGATCATTAAAAAGAAAAATGTTTATTTCAAAAAACAGTGATATATAATTAATTATATTACATTTGTATTGTATATTTTTTAAAAGGACTTCATACGCATATAACAAATAATGTACTTTAGCTTGCGGTTCAATGATACTTATCTCGATTAGTTTTCTGTCCAGTTTCCCTGATATTTTGAGCAAATGCGGAGATGGCCCCTTGTTTTGCTTCTGAACGTAAATGTAGCCTCACTATTGCACTATATGCTCTCCGTTTGTTTGTAGTAGTAGGAGAAGGGGGAATTGAAAGTTACTATTTTGTTAGCAATGCAGAAAAATAAAATTTGTCGTTGGTTTACCGTCTTACCGTCATCTAGCGCTTTTTTAAATTTTATTTCTTATTTATTTACCTTTGCCTCCAACTTTTATTCATCTTTCAACTATTTACAGTTAAAATTATGGGAAGGAATTCTGGAACTCAAGAAAACGTGCGCAGATGATCTTCTCCATACGTCAATACAGTTTTTACTGTTTTTGAATAAATAAATCTAAATCTAAAAAAGCTATTCCGAGTTCCTTCTCAAATTTAAGCGAAGAAAATAAGAGGATTCCTCTTCCTGACTATCGGGTCTCATTTATATGTACACACAAACACACCTATTGCCATAACTTGTATAAAGGCTTTCACAAATTAGCTCATTTACAGAAGCTCTGGACCATGCAGTTGTAAGCAGTAGATTATGCATTATTCATTCATTACGCATAATGTTTGGGTTTCGTACCAATAGCACAAACACGTAAGCAGGGGGTACGTGGGTAGTAGGACCACACGCAAACTGATATTCTTATAGTGATCCAGGGAATCGAACAACTGGAATGAAAAATAGGTTCCTCGTTTACTCTAGCATCGAAGTCTCCTCTTGTAGCAATTTGTGGGATTGGCTAAAGAAAAATCTGACTGGAATTGAAAATCGAAAAACATCAGACTGAATTTACAATATGGTAAAGTGTATGTATGTATGTACATGTGTACATGCATACATGCAGAGAGAGAGAGAGAGAGAGAGAGAGAAGTGTTGGTCGCTATTATGTCCAGATTATTTTTAAAATGCGTTTTACATTTTTGTGATATTGCCATTGTATATTCATTTTTGTAATATTTTTATTTTCTTATAATGACTGTTTTGGAGATATAATGTTTCCATTTTTGTTTTTCTTATTGATATGTTTAATCAACGTTTGTAAAAATGTATATTCTTGTGATTGGATTTCTATGATTTCATTTGAAATAGATTTTCTTTTGTATTTGTTTTTATCTTGTAATATATACTGTAATTGAGGCTTTACCGTGATGTAGGTTATATATATATATATATATATATATATATATATATATATATATATATATATATATATATATATATATATATATATCGTACATGTATTTCGTAAAAAACATATCAAATGACACATTCAAGCAGGTTCAAAACTACTAGCACATTCCAAAACATTAATCTATTGATATAAATTAAAGAAACGAATGAATTATTTTAAATTAATGTGCTCTTAGATATGCTCTGGCGTGAGTCGGGAAGTGCTATTACAAAAAATGTATACATTTTTTAATTCTACTACAATTCATAACCATTAACAGCCAGATTTTGAAAAGGAACAAAAATTGTTTCATTGCAAACTTTTATGTTACAGAAATATTTCAGAAACAATATTTTTGTAAAGATTTTCTACAAATAAAATAAAATTGATGCCCAAATGGGGATCGTGGTACTTGGCAAAAAACACACTTGAAACATAACGTATGTAAGGTTTTATTTTTAACATAATTGAGTTTCTACTGAAACTTCATTTTCGAAACAGTGTATATGTAATTTGACAATACATTTACAACATTATTTTCTATAATTCAATCGAATTTTTGTTTTCGCTCGTCAGGTATGTCTGTTGACCTCGTCATAGTATGCTTGAAAATTACTCTAGCTTATTGTGGCCCATGTTTCGAAGAAATTGTTTAGAGCAGTCGGCCTTTTTAGGAGCAAATCAAGAGTATATTTTCACTGCAGAACCAGACATATAACTTAGCAATAACTACATTTAACAAATTGGTAAAAAAAGAGGAAAATTCTTTTTTAAATTTATGTGCATTACAAACCCATTTCTTCACTCCACGAATGAACATATTGTAATGTGCAGTAAGACATTAAAGAATAGTGGACATATTACTCTTTCTTTGACAATCTCTGACATTGGTGTAACACCTAAAAGTTTTAGAGCTCATTTTATGTAATTGTTGCATTAACAACTTGCATCTACTACTTTATTTTAAACATGACCCTGTTTTCACATGATCCACTAGATTTTGTCATAACTTTCTTTTTGCTGGTTAGTTCTGAACATTTGGTAATGCGTTTAAAACAAGTTTTCGCTGCAAAATAATGCATTTGTCTTCTAGATTTTGAGCATTTCAAAACAAAGAAAAAATTACCAAAATAGAAATATGTTCTTGAGGTAGTAAACGACTGCGTCTAACACCTGTGGTCAATATCCACGTTTTGTGAGACTTTGATAACGAAAAATCGAGTGACGGCAAAACGTTTCTATCTGTCCGTCTGCGGTCAACATACAGCCCAAAGAGTTCATACGATTTCACCAAATTGGGTATTCAACGATCGAACTGCACAAACAGAAGGCTCTGCAAAATTAAAATTTCGGTTTCAAATTCAAGGGACGACATCAGCCATATCGATTGGGAAATATAAATTTTGGAGAAAATTTGCTGAACGGTTTGGCCGTTAGAATTGTTTACAGGCGAACAGACCGACAGAAGGACAGACGTTTTGACGTCAATCAATATTTCAAGGACCCACAAAACATGGATTCTGGCTACATCACGAGTAAGAGCATTGTTCTTCTAAATTTAGCAACTGGATTTATCAATTTTTTCTTTATTATGGCCCGGCAATAAGAGGGTTTTTCTGTCGCAAATTCTCTTTTTTTCGCGCACCATTACAGAACTTTCTCTCTACTCCGTAGCGAGAATGTAAAAATCACCAAATCTCATTCTTTGTCTTTTGTAAAATTGCAAAAGTTTTAATTTTTTCGACGATTTCCTGTGAGTACTATATTAACCATGAATACTGTTGTTCAAAGATATATCTTAACATAGTTCTTAAGATAGGTCATAAACAATTTTTTGAAGATTTGAAATTTTTTGCACAATAATGTGTGAAATATACGCAATTTTAAACAATTATTTTATTAAGATACACCATTTTTTTAATTTTGTCGCGTATAGTGAAGGAGGGTAAAGAAACTTGTGCTGATCCTATTCTCGGCAATCACTCTGTACTTTCGGAAATTGCAAAAATAATTACATTGCAAAAGTTCAATATTGATAATAGAGATTTTTGTTAAATGAAATCTCTTCTGAAAAATTAGTCTTTAAAAAAGGACATGTACACTTTTTAAATAACGAGTTATCCCTTAATATCTTAGTTAATGCAATGTATAAGAAAAGTTCTCCACAATAGTTCCAAACGTTCTCTTTAATGTTTTCCTCAAATAGAGTAAAGAACGTTAAAAATGGCGCAGATCTCATTTTCCTTGAACTTTGAATTTTCTACAATTCCATAAGTTAAAAATAATACGAGAAACCACATCTCTAAGTGTTAGGCTAAATTGAAGCCGTACGACTGGTAATGTAGCTGTGACGTGCCTAGCCGGTGGACTTGAACTTGAGAACAAATCTCGGCGAGAACAAACGAATTTTACTGGTTAAAAATACTTTTGCAGATTCATGTAGTGGTATAATACTCTGTACAAGTTACGTATAATGAAAGAAAGTTTGTGCAGCTGTATCCACAGTAACGTAAACTTGTTATGAAACAAAACTTGCACCAGTTAGCGTTAACCAGGTGCAGAACACGCTCACACATGCCATTGATCACCGGGAAAACGTCTGTTACGTATAATGTGTGTAATGTTTCTATGTATATGAACCATCTATTTCTGTGCCCCAGGTTTGTGGCCGACTGGGCCAGACATGGTGTCAATAACACATGTCAAGAGTACTAAAACACAGAGAACAATTCAGTATTTTTTTCTTCAATATTTGAAGGGCATATATATATATATATATATATATATATATATATATATATATATATATATATAGAGAGAGAGAGAGAGAGAGAGAGAGAGAGAGAGAGAGAGAGAGAGAGAGAGAGAGAGATGTGTGTGTGTGTGAAATAAATAATTTTCTTTTAAATGTATAAAATGCGAGCGAAAGGTGATGTAAGTATTCGTTGTTTTGTCAACCAATGTGACCGGTTAATAAGCATCCTGTTCCGAATATGAAACACTTTTATCGCAACCTAATATTTTAATATCAACTTTTTTTATTGGTTCATAAAACCTCCTTTGAATTGATTCGAAGTTTCTCTTGTTTCAGCCGACATGTATGCACCAGAGAACAAGTAGTGCCTGAACGAACGGTTGAGACGTACAACAAGCCTTCGTATATTCCTTACCAGAAAGCTTGCAACGATCACTCTGGGATGTGTAACGCAGTGCGGTAAGTCATTCTTGTCTTCTCTAAATATGTCACAATTATCCAATTTTATTACATTGTCGAAACAATATAAGTATGCATTAGCGCCAGAGATTCTTGGGGGAAAAATTAAAATTGAAATACATCATTGATTAATGTGATCGGTCTTGATAGTAGCGACCACAAGGGGTTGTCCATAAACGTAACGCCCAAGAGCATGGGAGGGGATTTGAGGCAGCGTTACATAGGGGTAAGGGGATGTTAGCTTTATGTTATGTAACACTAATTTTTTAATATTTTCTTAAATAATTCCTTTTTTCAGTCTTATGCTTAAACATTAAAATATTAATTATTTTAAAAAATATAAATAAACAGAAGTGATTACGTGTAAATTGTTACAATAATGGAAATTTTATTTATATTTGGCTTGCATTTCTCTTTGACACGTATATTATATTTGGCCAATATCTAAAGGCAATACACTTTTTCTCTATTCTTTTTTATTACAAAACGTTCATACACGGATAACAACGTTTCTGGATGTTTTCCATCATATTTTCAGGGTCTATTTTGTAACAAAAATAAAATCAATTTAAACTATATCAAATGATTCCAAATTTTTACATTCCAAAACATTAATAAATCCATACTCATATTCCTTTATTGACGTTTTGGAATGTAAAATTTTGAAATCGTGTGCAGTAGTTTAAATTAGTTTTATTATTGTTACAATATACAAATTGAGGATTGGGACGAAAAACATCCAGAAACGTCGTTGTCCTTATAAAAATGTTTTGTAATAAAAATGTATATGAAGAAAAGATTTTATATATGTTGTCTTTAGATATTGTCCAAACATAATATTTTCAAATAAATGGAAATATTTAATTAATTAATTAATAATTAATTAATAATAAATAAATGTTTTCGACGAATCTGTAATATAACGAATAAAATATTCAAACAGGTCTATATTATATTCTAAAATGGAACTAAATTGGCGAAGTAGACTCTCGCCCATGCTACATCCACAAGGGCGCGTGAATGGCTTGCTGTAAAAAATATTTCACTTCTGTGCGTCATTCCTTCACTCAAAAATTGTCCACAATCTTGTGGTTAGAAGTTATCAACTAATTCCGATTTTCATTATCACAAATTTGTATACATAAGGCAAATAAATTTAATATAATTTATTTTTACTTCTTGTAAATGGGGGATGTTGTCCCAAGCGTTATGCAATGATTTAGGGAAATTCAAGCGCCCGTTCCTGTTGCGTTAGAGGGTGAGAGAGAGTAATCAAATTCACAAAATTTTTCGTTATATAATTTATGGACGGCCCCCTAGGTATTTTCAGCGTAATTGAGTTTTTTCGTGTCTATTAATTATTCAATATAATTAAGAAATTATATTTTATTAACCACTTTTTCATAAATAAATTTTAAGAAATGTTTATATATTGGTTGAGACAAATCAACACGTTCCACTAACATCGTCATCGTGACATGTGGCCGGAATGGGGATGGGATCGTTTTTTCACAAGCGAGAGTTCTCGCACAAATCCGTTAGTCTTATTTATTTTGACAAGGGACTCTTGTCACTGGCCATGTCGAAATCTACTCTGATTTTTCTCATTGTAGAACAACAACCGACGTTTATTTACAGCAAACAACGGTTGCCCGACAATGCTCTTACTCACAACCAAACGTACATTTGTGTCAACTTCGGGAAAAAACGGGGCACATGCCATTACGTTATTCGCAACAAAAACAAACTACGTCCTTTCGCCAAAGTTTTAAAATCACAGAGACCACGTCCGTAAGATACAGTCACTTAACTCTGTATTGAGCAACCTTTTTCCCATAACGCGCTGTACTAAGGGAGGGCTAAACAATCTCCACCACCAATATGACGCCGCAGGCTTTATTTACATAAACATTTTAAAACGTATCATCATTTTCACTCTCATCCTAAATACAGCTGTCATTTTCCTCCTCATTATCTTCAAAATTATCATCTAATTCACGTTATAAATCTCATTCCGATATTTACTCATTTTGTTACTGCACCCAGCCATGATAAAAGACTGATCAATACTACTTACTAAATGTACTGTTTGAAATATATTAACTTCTTCAGAAATGGACAATAAATTTAATTTCAAAAATAAGTATCATTGTTGAGTTATAATTCAGTGTTTCCTCTGAAAACGTTGCTTACAAGATAGACAAGGGGGGGGTCATTTAGTGCACACCTCATATTTCTGACTTCATAATTTTGTTGTGACAGTTACTATCTTGAACTGATTATGGAAACAAAATGTCTTCAATTTCTGACACAAAATGAGAATCTAGAGGTTGTAACCGCATTACTTCAATTTTAGTAAAGATGTAAAAATGTGTGGTCATAAAATGACCGTCCCTTGGTCAGGGGTCAAATCCAGGGTTAAAAATGCTGATTGTGTGTCATTAACGGCGCCGACTTCGCAAGTGGTGACCCGGCATCTCCGGGGCGAGCTTCGCCGCGGCGCGCCGCCTTTTATAAATATATTTCTGCTTAGCTCGAAAGCCCCCAGCAGCAGTACGATACATTTAGTACAATGCACTGCATATATTGATATATTTTTTGAAACAGTATTGATACTTCAATAAATTAAGTAAACGGATACATTAAGTAAAATGCATTTCAATAAATGTTTACATTTACATTTATTTAGCCAAAAAAAGTAAAAACTGTATGTGACGTATGGGAGAGAAAATCATCTACGCACGTTTTCTTGAGTTCAAGAATCCTTTCACATAATTTTAACTATAAATAGTTGAAAGATGAATAAAAGTTGAAGAAAAATAAAAAAATAAAATTTTAAAAAGCGCAAGATTAGCGACTTTTGAAAAACTAGACATTTTCGTTCTCGAGTTGTAGAAAACATATTTGCAACGAACTGCAGATTTGATTTTTGAACAAAATAGTAACTCTCCCTTATCTCTACTCCTACCACTACAAGCAAAAGGAGAGTTCAGCAAAACGTGCGCATAGTGAAGCTACATTTACTTCCAGAATCAAACTAGGGACCATCTCAGCATTTGATTGGGTGTCACTGACCGGAATGGTCAAATGATTTATTTGTAGTATTTAAAAACCTTCGAGAAAACTTAGTAAAAACTAGTGATATTAACACTCCCCCCGACAAAATTTATATTTATTATGTGACTCACGAAGACTTCGGGCTTCCCCCACGGACGGATCTACGCTGGCGCAAACGGCGCAACGCCCCGGGTCCCCGAAGTCAGGGACCGCGAGTCCCTCACAAAGATGCCGATTCACAAATATTATGAATGTATCCTTTGGTAAAAGTCAGTAAAAATTTACACACCAGGGAATATTTAATTGAGGTTATTCCCCCTTATTATTGCTTTAATTGCGTGTGAGGGAATTATTGCTGGAACACACCAAAGAATATTCTGGCCGAGAGTGATTGAATAAGGTGGAAGGAGCGCCTCCGTAAGTTTACAATCTTAGCAGTCAGCTGAACAACTCCGACGCCGATTACTGGAGGAATCATTTCCTAAATTTGAAAATAAATTCATTGAATTTTCGTTTGTAACTTACGCGGTGTGAAACTGACAATAGTACAAAACGAACATGTGTACCTTATTAAGAATTTTACCTGGACCTTTGGAATTGGGTCCCGAATATTGAGCTTCGCCACTGCTTCGCTCCGCTATCCGGATCCTATTCGCGCCTCAGCTTGACGAGGCTTACTGACAGAGGGGGTTATTTTTTCAGAGCGCGAGTCCAATGAAAATTCTGTGATTTTAATTTTTTTCAAGTGCTTTCCAGTCGGGGCCAGGCGCTGATATTTTGAAGATACCTTTCCAATATAATTTACTTCACTTCAGTTATAATTTCGACTATTACATTTATTTGGTCATTTCAAGTCCCAAACATCGATAAAACAATCTAAGTGTCTATTTTAACTACTTTTCAAATATTATTGTAAATATTTTTTCAATACTAAAAATAGTCCTGAATAAAATAATTTTAAGTACTAAATTTTTTTTTACTATCATTTAAAACACATACAATCAATCGGAATGAAAATATCTGTCCAATGGTATGTGAGAATAATTCACTATAAAATATATCCAAAGCTATGATATTTAACCTGTGAATAATTCAACATTTGTGTTACTTTTCTTGGCCGTCTAATTCCTTTTCACAAGCAAGGTAGGTATAAATATTCAATAAATGAAAGTGTACAAGTTCATTTCATTCATTTAAAAAATGAAATAAGAATTTTGCAAAATACGATGTGTTTGATTTAACCAATATTTTATTTTGCAAATATCACTAATATCAAGTTGCTAATACTAATTGGTTAATGATTGTCATCCAATTCTGATTTGTATTCAGTTTTTCAGAACAATTACAAATGCAGAAATGGTCGCTTTCATGTGTGAAAACAGTACAGTAGTTTACCCTTCCTGACTTTGCATACAAGAAACTGTCATAGGAGGCAAACACACGTTATTTATGCCGCAGAGTTGTCTACCACGAAGCGTACCGCACCGAACAGAAGATGCATTTTAAGAAACAGACTACGTTTATTTGCTGCCCTGGATGGATGCAGGCTCACAAACACCAGCATGGCTGTCGAAAAGGTTGGCTTTATAAATATACTTTAACATTAATTACTTTAAACAAACAACCATGTATTGTCATGTGTATAATTATTTCATAAATTCAGAACTCCCAAAGCAATTTTACAAGCTTTCTCCGTAAGTCATCTATTTTCTAATGCGATAAAATATACTGCAGAAAGTAGTCAATGACGTTAAGATCGTGAAATACAATGTAAATAAATGCAAGAACCGTTACCAAAATATATTATATAAAAATCACGTGTTCATAATTTCACGTGCTAGGAATAATATGAAAATTACAGTATAGACATTTAATATTCGAAAATTAAAATTTCCTTCGCGGCCAAAATGTTCATAGAAAATGATTGGTTTTACAGAATTTCGCAGTTTTGCAGAATTTCGAAAATAAATATGCTGAATATATTGCATTGTTACAACATAGGACAGTACTTCATTTGTTCATATTCAAGTACTTAATGGGAATATATAGGCTCTATGTTGGATCTTGAAATATTTTCGTTGTGTAATTATGAGAGTAAGTAACATATTGTCTTTCATCTCTTAAAATCGTCGCTTTGAATATTATGTTATAAATTGTTAATTTGGCGGCGGCGGCGAAACCCGATCGAAGCCGTGGTTTTTAAGGGTGATAAAAATTCTTCGTATGCCTTCCTTCGGAGGGGAAGTAAAGCCGGCTGTCCCATGTTAGTAGATTTACTTGCATGTAAAAGATCCTCAAGCCTAAATGACGCCTCTGAGCTAAAATTCAAAATCGTCTGTTTCTCGCCCAAGAAATACCTCCTTCCTCTGGTAATGAAAGGAGCGTAGCGAAATTTGCGTGGTCAGATGGAAGAGCGGGTCTGATGGCCCGAGTCTCGCCACGTAAAATAAGGCATTAATTCAATTCACTTCAATTAAATATAGAATTTTCTCTTAGGGTTTGCTAAATGGCTTAATTGATTTATTTGGTAAATTAGTTTATGAATTAAAGATATAGATTTGCTGCACACATATTTTCTGTAAAAGTGTTATAAAAACGTTTACAAAAACGAAAGTTTTATAAAATCTAGTTTTCACACAATTTGGAGATTTATTAAATAAGTATGAAACTAAGCATGTACTATTTTCATCAAATAAATTTACGCAACAACCGATTAGTTTTCGCCAGTGCCGACGACAACAATTTTTGCGTATAGACAAAAGTTAGTTTTTTTAATTGTTACTTCGTTTTGCAACATTTCTGTTGGTCCTTTTTGCACATTGAGCGCTCATTTATGGAGTAATCTCGTCAGCCTGGGACTCGGTTCCGTTCGTATTCAGACAGTCACCCATTCAGGAATGAATGGTATCTCGAGTTTCATACCTTCCATGACTTCACGGCGAGTAGTCAAGCAATTCGGCTAACGACACCAGCTCATTAGTTTCCTTGAAAGAGTAGAGACTAAACGACCATCGAAATGACAAAATTGATGAGCTCTGAGTGGTCGAGAGAAGGGTGCTTCCAGATGAGTAAAAGAAGTACCCTCACTTTTGCAGTATCAACACCGCTTTGTATTACAATCGAATGCATGATGAGAGGACGAATGAGAAATGTTAGTACACAAAGTTCCCCGTACACGGGGCAGGTCAATAAATTTTACGAAGAATGAAATGTTTTATGCAGGTTTCATAAAATAATTTTACAAAATCATTGAATATGTGCGACACGTGTTGTTCTAAAAAACGTAATATTTCTGTTTTGTACGTTTGAATTTCTTAACTTGTCACCAATAAGTAAATTCTGCACTATATGTGTTAGGCTACAATTTACCCTTTGGTTCGGGGTAATTTGGTCACGACCAGTGAGCTCGCTATATGTGAGTATCAAGTTCGATTCCTGGATGGGGTAAGAGACATTTGTCGCTTTCGCAAATATAGAAGTCTACCCAGAGTTTGGGGTGATATGGAAGCTAAGGGTCAAAGTGATGTCGACAAACGGCATTCCTGCTACAAATATCCATACTTTTAGGAATAGTTGATACGTTAGCACTTTCTGGCTGGATGACGAAAGTAAACTATCTCTCTTCTTCGAAAATGCATTGTACATTCTATATTCTGATACATTTAATATCCTACATTAGTGCCTTCTCTCTGCTAGAGTATTTAGGATCCAACCACTCCGGAAGGCTGTTACACCGACAGTTCAATTACACTGATACAGTTAAACTAGACTGACTATTTCACTCGTGAAATTAAAACCAATAGTATTTAACTATACAGACAAAATGTTTCAATAAGGGCGATGTGTCTAAATATGTTTATCGATTTTCTATCCGATTTTTCTTAGCCCTTCTACCTACTGGTCAATCATAAACTGTGATTCATCTACCTTAGAAGGCGGTATACATCGATTGCTATGTCGATGTCAAATAAACAGCGCATGTACGGACTATAACATAACCACTGATCTTAACATATGCGTTTAGGTATTTTCAATATTTGGCGTATTTTGGAACCCTGTTGGACTTCATTTCACTCGTGGAATAGTCGTATTAAACACCACTCGTTGTTTGGAAATTCTCAGATAAATTCCTATATAAACCTATGATAAAACCTATGATAAATTCCTATATAAACCTATGATAAAGTATTACCTATGATAAAACTCTTCAGCATTTACTGTCGCTGCTACGCTACTCCTTTTACGTTTTCGCCTACTACGTAGGGGCACTACTTACGTAGGGAAAAAAGTATTGGAATGCTGAGGCGGAAAGTAACGATTTTTGGTCGCAAAACGCTTATTGTGGGGCACAGATATCGAAAAAGTTGATAAATTCTGTTCCTATATACGTAGTAAATTATTTCCTCTAACACGTTATGTAATTAGAAACCGTCTTCTGTGGATCCTTGATACCAAAAATTGGATGAAGCCAAAACATCTGTCTTCCATCCGTCTGTCCGCCAGTGTCTGATCAACACTTGCGCCTAAACCGTTCAAACTACTTTCTCCAAAATTGATATTACCTTATCGATCTGGCCTAACTCAAGCTCTTGCAAGTTTTAAACTAATAGATTAATGTTGACAAATATTTACATGAAGCATAAAGAGCGTTTACAAACTTTTCTCAAAAATGGCGTGGATAAATTGGCATGGATGACGTTTCTCAAAAAAAGTGGATAATTTTCTTAAAAGTTTGCAAATATATTTCAATTAAACGTTTTCCTCGAATAGAGTAAATGACGCTTTATAAATATAGTGTCTTCCTACAAATATAATACTTTTTCCTTTGTAAAATCTGTTATTTAAAGACAGATCTTTAAACAAGGCAACGTATAGTTTTTCGAAATTTGTTTTCGCATAATTTAGAATGAAACAGACAAGCTTTAAATAATTACTTTCCGAAAAAAATCGAATATATTAATTTACAACAATGACGTAGGAGTGATTTTCGTTTAAATCTTTCTGAAAATTGCAAACGTTAAAAGTAATGCGAGAGTGTATGTGATATAGTAAAACTACTAGATTGGTATATTATTTCACATCGAAGACACTACATGCATGATGGATGGAAAAAATGCATTTCACGATGTTTTTAATACCCTCTTACAAATACATTATTGAAGATGAATATTTCTTTCTTAATGCGGTCTATTCTTCGATAACAGATCTTAAAATCACTTTATTTACTGTTTTTCGTTATAATAATAAATTGTGAGAATTTTCTTAGATATCACAATCTTTTGTATATTAAATATTAGCACAGGCGTATTTAGCGACGAAAAAACGGGTAGCTATCGCTCTGGCTTACTAAACTTTTGGCTGAGGTTTGAGCCTCACAATTCCCTGGGGACTTTTTTCTTAAACCCTTTTATTCAGTCTATGTCTGCATCTCAATGCTGTAAGTCCTATTTTCACTAAAGATTACTTTCAAAATATTCATATCTCTGAAAATTGGGAATTCCAATATCCTGCTTCTTTTACTGGAAAGTATTTCATGGGATGGCTGAGAATTAATAGGATACATATTGCAATATTATAATAATACATGTATTCAAATTTGATACAGAGGGTGACTTCCCTCACACTTCAACCCGTGAACAATGTTTCTTAAAAATCCAATATTAACGGCAATGACTTACACTAATCTCAGGGCACCGGGAAAATATTTATTTAATAGATTCTATTCCACAGTCCTCCGCCTCGACCAACCACCAAACTGGTCGTGAACGGGTAGAATACTATTGCGAGTTATTCTCATTTTGTACTAAAGTCTTCAAATGGCTGAAAAACTCTGTGCAACACGTGTGAGATAGGGTAGAACATATTCTCGACTCGCCACGATAGCATTAAAATGACAGTTGCCGAAAATAAGATCACTATTACAATATTCATTTATTGTGAAACAGTGCTTTATTGCTATAGTATATCCTTCAACACACACCGAAAATAATTTGTGAGAAATGCCTTGAACAAATACATTTTGAGAATGTTTCCATTCGGCTGCAAAGTGCTGCGATCAACTGAAACAAACCGTAAACAAAGTTCAGTTGTATACCGTGATTGAAAAGTTTCGCGAATTTTCCAAGACGCGAATGCGGCGAGACTTGAGGAATATACACATTAATGTTTGCGACTTTATTTGGTGCATTCTTTCAAACATTACAAATGTTTACGAACATACAGGGATATCTGTGTGTGTGGGTGTAGGTGTGACTGGGTGTGTGGGTATGGGTGTATGCGTGCGTGTGTATATGTGTGTAAGGTTTACGTCTCGGGTGTAGAACCTTGAAGACAGGATTACGGGATTTCACAGTAAGTACAAAGGTATAAATAATTTAAAACCATACAGATTGTGGGAATTAGTTTTGACCTCAACATTTCACAATGGTAAAATATTAATTGTTCTATGTTGAAACGAAAGTAGACGTAGGCCGTCAGAATGATTCATCCGAAAATTAGCTCAAAACAATTCCACATGCTGTGGGTTTTCCTACTTCACAAGGCAAGCATGTCGTGGACACTGTAAAGAGATAACATGGTAACTTAAAATCGGTCTTAGTTTCAATTGCGATCATGACGATCTTAAGACTAAAAACAACTGAATATATACAATAAAACATGTATCTGGTCATCAAAGTGCAGGAGATTTATCACTGCCAGTTTGCAGTAACCGGATTATCAAACTCATTCGGAAATACTGCAAAAATGTTTTCCACAACACTGGTCCCTAAACTTAATTTTTCTGTCATTCAAATATTTTATTGATATTTCGGCATTTCAATAAAGTGTATTATGACAATATACGTATAGTATACTGTGTAGTATACTGTATAGTATGCAATGCATTATAACGTGAACCAGGCAAGTGATGACAAAGTACTAACATTGAATATCTAATGAACAACGATAAAATGTTGTTCTATTTAATCAGACTCCATGAAAAATTCACTTCTCATTTTTTACCACGCCTTGTTTTAGTTTAGTCTTTATTGCGTTTCCATTACTTCATATTCAAAACAAGCTCTAATAAAAAATGTTTTTTTTTATTTGCAGCCATATGCACGAATCCATGTTTGAACAAAGGCTCGTGTGTACAACCACAAACATGTTCGTGTTCACCGGGCTTCACAGGCCCACAATGTGAAACAGGTGAGTGATAGAAAGAATCGAATCTTCACTACCTAATAAAAATAATTAAACCAGGTAATATTGTAATGAATTAAAAGGAATTGTTATTAAATAAAGATTCTTCAAAAACTTACCTTAAAATTATATTCCACATCTATTATCGAATTTTGAATGTTTGCTTTCTTTTCAAAATCACCAATTTTCAAAGATTCCCACGTTGTGTTTGATGACTGTATATAAAACGTTGGTATTCAAGAAGTATTCTACAGACTTTTGTAATTAATTTTTTGAATATGTTTGATCATTTTTTTTAATATTAGGCATGTTAACTGACTAACATTAGATGCAAAATAATAGCTCTCTTAATATTTAATAACTTAGATTTAGATTTATTCAGTCAAAAAAAACGTAAAAACTGTATCTGACGTAGGGAGGAAAAGATTATCTACGCACGTTTTCTTGAGTTCCAGAATCCCTTCCCGTAATTTTAACTATAAATAGTTGAAAGATGAAGAAAGGTTTAACATAAATAATTAAAAATAAATTTTAAAAATCGCAAGATTAGCAATATTTGAAAAATAGTCATTTTCTTTTCTGAGTTACAGAAAACTTATTTGCATCAGTACACGAATTGCAAGTATGATTTTCCTGCATTGCTAACAAAATAGCAACTCGCCCTTACCTCTACTCTTACCATTACAAGCAAAAGGAGAGTTCAACAAAACGTGCGCATAGTGAAGCTACATTTACGTCCGGAAGTAAACAAGGGGTCATCTCAGCATTTGCTCAATCGATCAGGGAAACTGGACAAAGACCTGATTGAGATGGGGGTTATTGACCCCGAAGCTGAAGTACATTTCACGAATGTGTTTATGAACGAAGTAATATTTCATTTGTACTACATTAACTAACTTTATTTGTCGAACTTACGCTAGTTCCTGGCTGTTAGGGATCCCATTATCTTATTATCTTTTTACGTCTATATAATTTGAAAGAAATATATCTTGCCATTTTGCATTTTCTTGTTAAAATCATGCAAGAGTTGTTTCAAATTGCAACATTCGACTACTGAGACACACGTAAAGAAACCACAACAAATGATCTCTACCAACAAAATACGCTTCTTGGACAGTGTTGCCATCAACTGACACAAGAAATTTGTACAAAATTTAAGAATTCGCAACGTTCGGTTCTCAGTCCCGGACAATTATCATTCTTACTTCTGTGAATTCATGTGCGAATCCCCAACTGAAAAGAGTAATTTCGGATGAATAGTAATCCTACCAATAAAGAAGCCTTAATAGATATTTCGCAGGTGTGCACTACGTGTGAAATAATATTGGAAGGAAAAATCTTGTTAAATATTAATCATCCAGTATGCAGGTGTCTCAGAATAAATTTGACAAACCTAAAGGCGTACACGGGATCACTCGATCATCAACAAGATTGTCACTTTTTCCTATGAACATGTGATGGAAAATTTCGTATAACGAAGTTACAGGTGGCATTTGCCCCTGATCTAGGCAACCCGTCATGCGATTATGTTTGGCAGGCAAGGTACCAACGCAGTCAAAATTTTGCCGGCTGAGATGGCTCAGAGGTTACATTACCGTTATTTCTGCAGCTACTCTGACTGTGAGTTCTAGGTTTCGAATTCCGACGGAATACATGTTTGATCCTAACTAAATAGCTAGTTCGAATTCAGCAAGATCTGGAGAAGAATTCTGTCAATTGCTGCACTGATCGATACTTTTCCGTGGTTTCTCCGATCAACACCAGGAAAATGCCGGAGTTTTACCTTGATAAATGAGCCAAGGATAGCGCGCGATCTTTCCTTTCTTGTTGCTTCCTCTCCTTTCATATTCACAATTAGATTATCACAAATGCCGGGAGGCCAAATGAAAGCTTAGTTTGCGCTGGTCGGTGTCCCCATGGCGGAGATACCTGGAGAGAGAAGACATGTAGTTCGGCGTCGGATCTCACATTCTAACAATGGAGAAACACCACCACTTCCCCTGAATTCACATCATCTACACCAACTTAACCAATGACAATAGCAGATGATGCGCCCGGTAACATTAATCAAACGATCAATGAGATTTCTTTCTCTGTAACACCAGTGTTTGATGTGTTGCCTAACAACGAGGGGCAATTTCCCTATATGAACATTTCTACTGTGTGCTCACTGGTAAAAAAAAATATTTTCTTGGACCCTCCATATGACCTGGAAGTTTGTAATATTGATTCTAAGATTCTGTATTCATAGTATATAGAGATACTTATTTTAAGAGTACAATATCAGTGCAATTATGCTCCCCTTACTTTACCTCTTCTGTAAAATTATCAATTCCTTTAACGTTGTGTTCTCATAGGGACGGAAATACTCAGTAATTGCGTAATTTTAGAATAACGTCATCCGTTACATCTGAAAGAACATCGCTTGCAAAAATCTCAACATTTCCGAGACATGAATGCTGTTGATAGATAAGGGAAGTCGTTTGCGTACCCCAGATTAGAAGCCAGGGCCTGGCGAGGGATGATTAAGTCACCCTAACTACATGCTTAATGTGACTTCCATGAAATGGTTTATTTAAAAGAAAGTTTTATTACTTCGGTATTTCTTTGTGTGGTTGTCTGGTCTTTGTGTAGACGAAGCTTCATACTTTCTCCAGGTGATTTCATATTTTTTAATAGGGTCTTTGTTCAAAAATGTGTTCACAAATAAACCAATAATACAGATACAACATTGTGTTCAGTAATTTCTCAATCAAAGACATAGTAGCAATCCAGTACACTGTGTAAAATTCTATAGTTAATGTAAGACTAATCAAAATAACTCGCTCTCAATTTTCTTTCTTTACTTCTTTAGTGTTTTGTGACGGTACTGATAGTTTTTATATTATTTTTAACAGTAAACTCTATTTTCCTGTATTATCTAACACAAAATACATATTCTTCGACCTCAAATCTAATAATTTTGGTTCTTTTCAGACATTAATGAATGCAGAGAAAAGCCATGTGATCACACATGTGTTAATACGAATGGAAGTTTCCAGTGCTATTGCCATGATGGTTTTGACTTGCAAGAAGATGGTAGAACATGCCGTAGCAGAGGTATTTACCCCTTTTGATGCAATTGAGCTATGTGAAAAGAATACAGAAAAAATATTCAAAGTTTGTCACATCCTTCAACTTTTCTCAACATTCTATTATATTTCTCTTTCTCACCCCATCTACCTATTATCTCTCTGTTTCTATCTCATTTTTCTTTCTCTCCTCTCTCTTCTCTCTCCCTCTCTCTCCCTCTCTCTCCCTCTCTCCTCTCCTCTCTCTCCTCTCTCTCCCTCTCTCTCCTCTCTCTCACCTCTCTCCCTCTCTCTCCCTCTCTCTCCCACTCTCCTCTCCCCCTCTCTCGTCCCTCTCTCTCCCTCCTCTCTCTCCCTCTCTCCCCTCTCTCCCTCTCTCCCTCTCTCCTTCTCTCCCTCTCTCTCTCACTCACACACACTCACATACAAACATTATTTCGGACTGTTGTATTTACTTCTTTCAGTACTAATATTAAATGTCCGTTGAGACAGGGGGAAAATGGAAATCATCACGCCTGACTTCTGATCCAAGTATTTCTTTGGAAATTTTTCTGAAAGTGAAACGTGAAAACAAAGGGAAACCGGCCCCCTGAATTTTGAATAACCAATACTGACTCTCAGAAGCACTCATTTACTCTTAAATATGCCTTTTCAATTTCATACTCTGAAAGTTTTTAGATTTTTCAAACAAGCTTAAGGTAATTACCGTATTCCGCTACATATAACTGAAATTTGCGCATTGGCTATATAATTACTCGGATCTTCCCCTTCATGTTCAGTTACAGGCATTTTAATGTAACCACATTACATATAAATGTTGCTCTCGTAAACGTCTACATTTCAACATAAAAGGATTTGTAGCTCAGACACCGTAAAATTACACAATTTGAAAACCAACACACAATGGCTTTCGGTGCAGCGAAGACTTCAGCCACCAAAACCAATACTCAATATTTATGTTACTTCAAAACATTTTAACTTGTGAGGAGATTTATACAATTTCAATGAAACAATTCAAGATAGTTTCTTTAACTTTTGCCGAAATAAATATTTCATTCCTTAACAACTGTAGTAGAAGTTCTATAATACTACAGAGGGTATATCTATTAGAGAACACAATAATACAATGTGATTGTCTCCGTCTGATTTTTCTACCAACAAAAATAGTATTTTTTACATATTTTTTCATTTTTCTTTAACATCTAATTGCCCAGAACGAAACAAACTACATACTCGTGCATTCATAGTAAACTCAAAACTTCAGTAATGAGTGAACGATGTAATTGTACAAAATGTAGCTAGTTACCACATTTTCGGAATCTATCTTTTGGCCACATATTGTATGTTAAAGTTGCCGTATTTGTTTTGAATGGTCCCAATTTTTGGCGGTGAGACACCTGATGTAAATACCGGTATCAGATCGAAGCTGTGTAGTTTCCAATATCGAACTTATTACCACCAAGGTTACCATTAAATGACACGGTAGCAGATGGGACCTTTTGCCAACCCCTTTCTACCATTGCCGCCCTCAAGTCTAAACTTGATGTAAATATTGCTAAATTCATTTACTATACATAACATTTGAGAGAAAATTACTTCATTCTGCATACAATAGCATGCAATTTAAGATCACCAATATCAAACAAATACGTTATTCGTTTTTATCCTCAAGGGGCATTAACCGAGGTCAAAATGTGATAATTGTCTAGATAGTATAATGAAGGTAGTGCAAAACAAGAGAGCATAGCAAAGCTCTTTGAAAAATTCCCTTGTTAATAAGACTTTCCATTTTCCACTACTTAAGGTCCACTGTGAGAAAGTACCTTGCTACTCTATGTCTTCACACCAATCTTACAAAATTCAACAGTCTAGGATGGAATCAATAAATTCGTTGTCGTCAGTATACAGTCGTGAGGTGCACTGACTACGCATATCTGGTAGGCAAGTCAAGTGATACTTAAATTACATTTGCTTTCCTTACAGCATTTGAGACGACTTTGCTAAACAAGTTTTTCTTGCAGCTCCAGAAACCTTTATGACATCCGTTCTGTTAAATTGGCAACATATGTATTTATGTATTTCTAGCAGACTTTATGTATTTCTAGCAGACAATTGATTGGCCTATTATTTTTTGTCGAAGAATTGTTTCTTCTTTGAGCGGCATATACGTGATGACGCGTGTGAGCCATTCCAGAAATTTCTCTGGATTCCATTAACGGCCTTTGCAATATGAAAATGTAAAGCTATTGTTTTCTTGACACAATAATGACTTCTATCATAACATCTGTGAAAGCTAGAGTACGATTTTTTAAAGTTCAGTTACGTTAATTCGTATCGACATTCTCATGTATCCACGTACTGGCATCGAACGTGTAGTGGAGTAATCCTCCTTTAATCTAGTCATTCAACGTCAGTGTAGTCAGTCTTTGCTATTTATCCCTTCGGTCAGGGTCTCGTCGCCATTATATCGTGGAGTTTCCAGGCGGGCACCAATCCAGGAAACCGCGATACCTCGACTTGCTTAACCCCCGTGACTTAAGGGAGCGTAGCACTTCGACCAACGACGCCGCCTTTGACAGCAGTTCGATTGAACGTAATTCCATTACATCGAAAACCTACACCATATATTGTCAAAAGACTGTGGTTTCAAATTCGAAGTGGTGCATGTTCACGGGAAAGAGAATCCATTGTTCTAAGTATTAAGGTCTTATATGATGAACGCAAATAAAACTATTTTCCCTTACAAAATTTAGGACAGTGCCCCTCCCGTCTTGGCAGCCAACGGCACTCACAGTAAAATGCTCTAAAATAAATTACTTCCCAGCACATTATTTTATTTTGTCAACACTAACAATATTATTTATAACACCACAATGTATATTCATTAAACGTTTAAAGAATTGAGGAATTGAGGCGCTCTGAATAATAATGGCAGATCCCAATTGTTGTTCGTTTCGAAAAAAATGACTTTTTCTTTTTTCGTTCACATTCACGTTCACTCCGGACAAATTTTTGAAGGTGAAATTTGAGGGGTGTACCATATTCCAAATCATTTGATATTTCAGCATATGATATGTATATGGCAAGCACTTTACTGTCATACGTGTGACTGAAAATGCGAGGTCGGTTGGGATCTGCCATTATTAAACTAAGCGCCTCAAATGCACTGTTGGGCCTTGGAATTTCCTCTTCCCGTTCTTATTTTATAGACTCAGCTTACTCAATACATTCTATCATAACACTCTGTTCGATTGTTAATTACAAATTGCATTTAAATATTGTAATAAATGTAGTGCATGTATCATGCCGTGTATATAGATTTCAAATTAAAATAAATTACAGCAGCTATTTAACAATAGTCAAAGCTACCATAATTATATTCTACTCTGAAATTGTTTATTGTTATCTAATAATATAATCATTATTACAGGAAACATCACTGCCACTGAAGCCAAAGATCTGTTGGACTATGAGTTGATCTCACAAAGACTGTTACGATTAGAAGAAGTAAGATCATTCAGAACTATATTTCAAAGTTATTTCAAAACATTTAGAAGTTTAAGATTTAGAATTATAATTTTATGTTGTTAACAGAAGCATATGATATATTTAGTTTTGAACAGACTGATATAAATTGTATGCAGATTTTTAGAATGGTTTAATGAAGTAAAATACTAATGAAATTATATTGTCCTTTTTCCAAATTATGTTAATAGTTTAATAAAGTTTATGAATTAACAACAAATTTATGCCAAAAAAATATTTATAATAAAAGAAGCTGATGTGAAATCAGTTTTAACAGATTACTAATTTATTAAAATTTTCCCCGTGGAGTTCATTGAATCATTCTATCGGAATATTACATTTGAAATTTTTACAAAATGATACTGGATTATTAAACAAGACAGCATTTATTATACCTAATAAATACTAACAAGAGACCTTTTAACTTGGTTCAGGTCGAGATATGACATTTTTTTTTCCTTTTGATATTCACTATTTATATATGCTCAAAAATTGCTGGCGTCGCACACTGGAAGTTGCTGAAAAAAATAAAGAATTTGGTTTTCGCTAACGCCGTAGACAATCCTTGCTGCAGCGGACGACACATGTAGTGTTGTCATTGCTCCCTAGAATGTCTACTTATCGGCTATGTTTGACAGTTTGCTGGGCGGAAAACAGTTGCTAATTTTTGGGAACATTGTGTCTCGGTATATTAATCTGTGGGTTTATTTTGTTTATCCATCAGTTAGTTTACTAGGGATTAATCGCAATTAGTTCGACAATAAATTATTTTATACGAATAATAAATACAATTACGTCGGTTATATTTAGGCTGATTAATGTAAACATCAATTAAAATTTACGACTATAGAATTCGATCATTTCAATTAATTTTCTTGAAAATTTCTAATGTACTTACATTTAATTTAAAAAATGCTGCCATTTCGGCAAAAAACGAACTTTATTACAAGCACCTACTGACAATGGGGCATATTCAGCAAAGGGGATTCGAGTGGACCCGAACCCGGTGATTAGCTCAATGATTATAATAATACGCAATAAATCAACCAATCGGTGAGTTCTAAATCCTTCAGAGTCGTCTTTCCGAACGAAACAATGATAGTCAAAGGTGTTGCCGTTTTCGAGCTAATTTAGCAGGTAACACCAGCATGGATAACGATCAAAATCACTTCTCCGAGATGTACGTACTACAAATGCATTCAACTGAATCAACTGATGTGCCTGCATAAAACATAATAGAAGACTAGCAAACAATGTTAACTACATTTGCATACCGTATACTAGCATCTTATCACATTTCTGTTTCTCAATATCGAAGAACTACTCGTAATGCCCAGACGCACAGGCGCTGCGCCCACGCCGCATTGCGGACCTGTCAAGGGCATGGGCCATGCCATTAGCTCAGTTGCGCTGCCCTGAATTGGAACTCGTGCCCGTAGGAGCGGGTCTTCCTTGAGCGGATATTCTCTTATAATAGACAGAACTGCACAAATACCGCGAAACGATGATTTGCATCGGCAAAAGTATGGAATTTCGGTATTTTTTCAATAACTTCCAGTACTCGACGGCAGCTATTGTTTCCACAGCACATATAAATAGTGAATATCTATCTATAGAAAAAAATTAGACCAGATTGCGACCTATATCTGTTGAAAGGTCCCTAGTAAAACATACTAGCATCCCTCGAACATGTTCTACACTACGAATTCCAGAAACGTATTAGTTTTAAAAATAATGTTTTCTATTCAAATTCAGTACTTGTAATAGTTAATAATACATTCAGTCTTAATAATTTCTTACCCTATTGTTCTTTGTTCAATGGTTACAAAGGAAATAGATACAAAGATAAGTGGTGATCATATTGGCTGTCTTATCAGTGAAGATATTAGCAAGTAAAACGTGTATCTGTCAAAGTGTCATTTCCTTGAGTGAATACATAAATCATAATAAACATCATGTACCCAGCTTAATCATTTCTAATAAACTTACATACATAAAATTAATTAAATAGAAATGAGAGAGATATAACAGTAGTGTAGAAGGACTTCAAATGCTAAGGTATTAATATTAGGTATAAACAAAGCCAAATTATATTTAAATTAAACAAAAAAGTATAAAATTGAAAATCATTCTAACGTGCTTCACTGATGCATGGCATATCAGAAAGATGTTCTTTACTTAACCCTTTCACTTTCACCAGGAAATGCACACCAAGAAACAAACATCACCAACCGCAGATTTATCCATTAGAGAGTTAACAAATAAAATTGAGTCCATGATGCAACGGATTCTCGATCTACAAGACCAATTGGACAATGTTGTAAGTACACAGTATGATTTACAACCATAATCAACTAATGAAACAAATATGAAGTAGCCAATGGTCACCAATGACCTCATAGCACAGGTGACCCTGATAAATCAATTGAAAAAACAGCAGTAATTCATAGTTTGAGATTTACCTCAATAATTGAAATAAACAGATTCTCAAGAAATTTGATAAGAGCACAAGTTTCTGAGATCAAATAGCATAAAAATGGCAGGAAATGACTGGGCACAGGTTCTTTGTAAAGTTCGTTTGTTGTTTCTTTGTTTGTTGTTTTAAGCCTCAAGAAGCCTCAAGAAAAGTAAGATTTTTATTTAAGCCAAACCAACTACACATAAAAAAGGAATATTGTGTTCATTTAATATCTATTTTACTGTTTGTTTAATTTACTAGCTGTAAATATTGATAGATACACATCTATCAATATTTAAAGCTAGTAGATTAAACAAACAGTAAAATATGAATTAAAATGAATACAATATTCTTATTTTTATTTCTAAATTGATGCAACATCATTATAAACATCAGAGCTACATTTCTCTAGGCACCACAAATAAAAGAGAAGACCAGAACTAACAGTATTGTGTAGAAAATATTCCTCAACATTTTAGTCCAAAAAATATAAATATTATAATGAAATTAACTTAGATACTTGTACCAAAGGATTACGGAACCGCTGTTGAACCTTAAATCGTGACTTTGTTTCGTGCAACTCGATGATAAGACTCCTTTATTTGATAAATAGTTAATACTCTGAGGGGTTAATAATTGTGATTATTAGTATTCTGGGCTAGTTAAGTTATTATCAAAAAAATTTAGAAGCATTCACTTCATTGACAAGTCGTTTCTTTAACTTTCTCTCTACCTAGAGAAAACGAGACCTACGAAAAAACGGCGAATTTTCGGCAGAAAACTCTTATTACAGGGTTCTGGTTACGAAAAAATGGATAAATCCAGTTGATAAATTTAGAAAAACTCCTCTATCACATGGTGTAGCCAGAATCCGTGTCTTGTAGGTCCTTCTTACCGAAAACTCGAATGACGGCAAAATATCCGTCGATCCGTCTGACCGCTAGCGGCTAAAGCGGCGTTCAGCTGTTTTTCTCCAAAAATGATATTCGCCAATCGACCTGGCTGATGATGCGTCCCCTTGAATTTGAAATCGATATTTTAATTTTGGGGGGTACTTTACATAAAGCCAGTAGGATATTTTCCAAATTTGCAAAAGAAATGTCTCCATCGTTTTTTATTAAATTTTGGTGATGAATAGTGTGAAGGACTTTTAAGATAATGGTGGTCTCATGTTCGGTAAAAGTCCTTGATTTTTCGAAAATTGCAAAAGTTCAAATATTTTTCGGAGTCTTCCTTCAACTAAAATATTAAAGATAGGTATTCTTTTTTTGTAATGTTCCTTAAAGATAGATTTTGAAATAATATCATGTACAGTTTTTCAGAAATTGAGTACTTTTCGTGTAATCTTGCGTTAAAATACGGCGAGGAAGTACGTGCTGTTTTAGCACCACTAGGTTTATTTCTACCACATGAATAGATACCTAGTTGTCTGGCATCGCTACTAACAATTAGGGTTGTGAGTGATGTTTGCAGACCCACAAAATATGCAAAATAAAATTACAATGACATTCAAGTCGGAGGTGGCTCGTGAATGTTTCTTAAAAGGACAAAAATTCATTACATAAACAATTTTAAATTAAATATATAGGAGTCTCAGAATAAATCTAATAAACTTTGAGGGCATGTAGGGTAGTAGAAGGTAATAACTTTTTTCCATGAACTCGTGGTGGTAAGTTCCGAATAAAGAAGTTACACATGAGACACTTGCTCCTGAATGTCCGGTGCTCGCACCGGTAAAGACACTCTAGAAGCCCTCATTACCCTTTCAATTTTAAACTTTCTTCTGAATTCGAAACCCTCAATTGACGGCATTTATTAACACTTCCCTGCGTAAGCATTCCGCTTCCGGGCAAGTAAGCAGCCACGGGGCAGCAACTGAATACAATTGATACGTTGAATAAAATCTTTGAATGCAAAAGGAAATCAAATGCAGAAAACGGAACTCTTTGTTAGTTTTTAAATCCTGTTCGAGGATTTGATATGCAAAACAGTGTTTAAAATGGAAAGAAAGGCTATTCATAATGGATTAAGGTGAGTGCCTTAGAGTGACTTAAGTGGCTCGCGGGTCTCCAGCAGGCTGGTACGTGCAGAGAGGCCGGCACTGTTCGAGAAACAAGTGGTGCACCAACAGCACATACTTTCACGCATTTTTTCATGCATTTGATATTTTCAAAAATTCGGAGAGCTCAATTAAAATTAGACCCGTGCCATTATTTTCAGCGTCCTTTATTCTATCCGTAGAAGAAAATTACAGAAAAATTTGGAGCAATTTTTGAATTTTTTTTATATATTATATTAATATTAAGGAATTGTGCGAAAAAGACTCGTTTCTTCAAAAAATTATAAATGGCCTTTTTCAAAGAGCTGATTTTTAGGAACAGATTTTGTTTAATGCAAAAATATCTATCTTCAACTTTGCACTTTTGCAATGTTAACGTTTGACAATTTTCGAAAATAGGGTGTTCACCGGAAGTTTTACTTCCACCATTTTTTGAAAGACCGTCCGTCCGTACCATCCTGCGAAGAGACAATTTAAAGTAAATTTTGAAGCCATTTATGAGAAATAATTCATTCAACTTTTTTAAATTCAGTATAATTCAAACAAAATTACTTGAAAACTGTCCATATTTTTGAAAAACTGTACAAAATTAAACAGTTAAAAATGAAACACACTGTTTAAAATTGTCAAAAAATCACTGATTTCAACAAAAATGAGAACTTCACCATACTTATAAGCGTTCTTCATACAGTCCAAGGATGAAGTTATATCAGAAAGTAGAAGCCAGTTTTGGGAAAATTTTGAAAATGTTTTGAGGCTTCATGAATACTACGGCAAAAAATCAAAATACACGACTCAAACTCAAAAGTCATCTCAAAAGAGTTTATTTAAATTGATCGAGAAGTATTAATTTTAGAAAAAATTGACTGAGCGGTTTTTGCTCAAGCTTTGACCACAAGCGGTTTTGCCGTCAATCGATTTTTAGGTAGAAAGAATCCACCAAATATGGATCCTGACTACACAATGTGTTAGAGTAAGATATTTATAATTTATAGGATCGAGATTTATCCACTTTTTCGTTACCAGGGCCCCACAATAAGAGATTTTTCCGCCGACAATTCGCCGTTTTCAAGCGCACAATTGTAATATTTTCTCTTCTTAGGAAGGGCAAGAAAGTAAAAACCAAGAACAAAAGGGTCACATTATAATTTTTAAAGGGGAAATATGTTTTAAAGAAAAACATGAGCTTAGAACTTGCAAAAATTACCGAATTAATGTTTTTTCCTACCGCTAAAGCAATAAAATTAACACAAAATTAGTTAATATGGCATTTTACAGCGCTTTCTTAGAGCGTTTACTTTTTCAACGTGCATGACGCTAAAAATGGCAGAAACATTTTTACATTATCCTGCCCTCAAAAACATGATATTCTGATAAAACTAGGAATCAGCTTCTAGGAGTTTCGTAGCAGTAAGTTCATTTATCATGTACACTTCAAAATATAAAAAATGGGAATGCCCCGCCTACAATTAAAAATACAATTAGAACTTTTCTTATTACCACTATTAACTTACTTGTTAAACCTTCATTACTACCTTTCTATTTAACACTTATAACATCGTTTTACAACTTCCTTTGGTTTATAAATCACTTACAACTACTTTATTTTAATTTTCTTCTTCCATGAATCCCTGTCGGCTTCATTTAAGCCTCGTGTATTTATAATTTCGAAAATTTATTTTATCAAAGTATGTTTAGGACGTCCTCTTGATTTTTTACCAATAGGAAACCATAGTAAAATATTTTCTGGAACTCTTTTTTCTCCCATTCTTTTCACGTGTCCAAACCATTTTAATTATTTTTGCGTGATAAAACCTAAAACTGAATCTACATGTTTTTCATTATTTGTCGAATTATAGTATTAAGAAACTTTTCTACTTTAGAAATCCTTGCTGCTTTTCGTAACAAATTTATTTCCGTAGGGAAAAGTTTCGATTTTAATTGTTTTGTCAATTTCCATGTTTCTGTAATATACACCACAATACTTTCTATAATAGCTTTGTAAATTTGTAATTAATTTTTCTCAAAATATTTGTAATACTCCTTAATACTTTATTAACCATGAAAATGGTCGCCCTACCTTTATTTATTCTGTGTTTAATATGTTCACCTTGGTATGTGCCTTTTTGAATTTTGACTCCTAAATATGAAAAATCAGAACATTTTATTTCATGTTTTCCGCTCTGAATAAATAACTTCTCATTTTTTTTCACATCCCGTATAAATTATCTTAGACATTTATTTTTAATTCTCATTTACTATAATCTATTAATTTTCGAAACGCATTCCCAATATCTTCTATATTTTGTGCTATCAGAACTTGATCATCTGGAAATAACAGAGAGCTTAACGTATTATTTCCCATTGGAACTCTCATTCCCTACATTTTTATTCCACATTTCCAACTATTTTTGCAAATACATATATTTTAAAAAGTATAGATGAAAACCTTTTAATGTGAAAATATGATAGGAAATATTCAAATTTACTTTTATTCAAGATTCATCACTATATGTAGACGTCTCACAATTACTTTATTAATATTAAACTGTTTCAAAAGTTGCTTTAACTCCAAAAGTGGAATGCTATCGTACACTTTCTCTAAATCCATAAAACATTTGTTGGCCGACAGCATCAAATTTTTCAATTAATTGTTTAACTACAAACACGTGATCTATTGCCAACACAAAAACCAGCTTCAATCTCTCCTTGTTTAATTTGAAATTCTTTTTCCCAATAAGATTTCAAAACTCTTCCATATAAATGACTAAGTACTTAAAGCAGTTATACCTCGATAATTTGAACATTCATCCATCCTTCCCTTTTTATGTCT